CGGTTTGTATTTGGAGATCAGTGTCTGGCACGGTTTGTATTTGGAGATCAGTGTCTGACACAGTTTGTATTTGGAGATCAGTGTCTGGCACGGTTTGTATTTGGAGATCAGTGTCTGGCACGGTTTGTATTTGGAGATCAGTGTCTGACACAGTTTGTATTTGGAGATCAGTGTCTGGCACGGTTTGTATTTGGAGATCAGTGTCTGACACAGTTTATATTTGGGATCAGTGTCTGGCACAGTTTGTATTTGGGATCAGTGTCTGGCATGGTTTGTATTTTGGGATCGTGTCTGGCATGGTTTGTATCTGGGGATTGTGTCTAGCACAGTTTGTATTTGGGGATTGTGTCTGACGTGGTTTGTATTTAAGGATCGTGTCTGGCACGGTTTGCATTTGGGATCAGTATCTGGCACGGTTTGTATTTGAGGATTGTGTCTGACACGGTTTTGTATCTGGGGATTGTGTCTGGCACGGTTTGTATTTAAGGATCGTGTCTGGCATGGTTTGTATTTAAGGATCGTGTCTGGCACAGTTTGTATTTGGGATCAGTGTCTGGCAGAGTTTGTATTTGTGACTAGTATCTGACACGGTTTGTATTTGGGGATCAGTGTCTGGCACGGTTTGTATTTAAGGATCGTGTCTGGCATGGCTTGTATTTTGGGATCGTGTCTGGCACGGTTTGTATTTGGGGATCGTGTCTGGCATGGTTTGTATTTAAGGATCGTGTCTGGCATGGTTTGTATTTGGGGATCAGTGTGTCTGGCTTTTTGGTTTGTATCTAGGGGATTGTGTCTGGCACAGTTTGTATTTAAGGATGGAGTGTCTGGCATGGTTTGTATTTGGGGATCAGTGTCTGGCTTTGAGGTTTGTATTTGGGGATTGTGTCTGGCACGGATTTGTATTTGTGATCACTTTTCTGGCGTAGTTTGTATTTGGGGGATCGTGTCTGGCAAGGGTTTGTATTTGGGGATCAGTCAATGCTGGCTTTGGTTTTGTATTTAGGGGATCCAGTGTCTGGCGGTTTTGTATTTGTGATCACTTTCTGGCATGGTTTGTCGGTAGGGATCGTGTCTAGCGGGTTTTGTATTTGGGGATCGGTGTAAAGCACAGTTTGTGTTGGGGATCGAAGAGTGTCCCTTCGCGGTTTTGTATTTAAGGATTCGTGTCTGGCATGGCTTGTATTTTGGGATCGTGTCTGCCATGGTTTGTATTTGGGGATCGTGTCTGGCATGGTTTGTATTTAAGGATCGTGTCTGGCATGGTTTGTATTTGGAGATCAGTGTCTGGCACGGTTTGTATCTGGGGATTGTGTCTGGCACAGTTTGTATTTAAGGATCGTGTCTGGCATGGTTTGTATTTGGGGATCAGTGTCTGGCACGGTTTGTATTTGGGGATTGTGTCTGGCACAGTTTGTATTTGTGATCACTTTCTGGCATGGTTTGTATTTGGGGATCGTGTCTGGCAAGGTTTGTATTTGGGGATCAGTGTCTGGCACGGTTTGTATTTGGGGATCAGTGTCTGGCACGGTTTGTATTTGTGATCACTTTCTGGCATGGTTTGTATTTGGGGATCGTGTCTGGCAAGGTTTGTATTTGGGGATCAGTGTCTGGCACTGTTTGTATTTGGGGATCAGTGTCTGGCATGGTTTGTATTTAAGGATCGTGTCTGGCATGGTTTGTATTTGGGGATTGTGTCTGGCAAGATTTGTATTTGGGGATTAGTGTCTGGCAAGGTTTGTATTTAAGGATCGTGTCTGGCATGGTTTGTATTTGGGGATCGTGTCTGGCAAGGTTTGTATTTGGGGATCAGTGTCTGGCAAGGTTTGTATTGTATGACCTGCTGAGAGTGGGATATGAAGAGCCACTGGGAACCTGCTCGAGGCTGTATGGTGATAAAAAGTAAACCGAGTGTTTTTTTTTTCCATTGTGATGCTCTTTTTCTAAGCCTTCCTTATGATTGCTCAAATACACATCACTCAGGGACTCAGCTTCATTTACTTTAATCAGCAGTTTGTATAATTCTCAATGTATTTTGTTATCCCTTATATTTAACAAATGTGTTTGAGAGTTATAAAAATTACAAATCTAAAAGAAATGTACACCTCTATATTTACCTCAATGGCCTACTGAAGTGCCTCTATCCTGGTTCCCTGTCAGTCATTGTTATAAACTCTGTTTGTTACACCTTGCAGTCAGAGAAGAAACAAAAATAATCATGGTCTAACTGTGACTATAAATGTGTTGGAGAATTTTTGTGGCCCAAGTTTGCCATTTGTATGTATTTGATCATATTTTTTCCATTGTCAATGAAATGTGTACATTGGCTGTGCCTGGAATGAACTTGTTTGTAACGACCATAGTTAAAATATTTAATACACCTTCAAGAGAAAATGGAGCATTGTATGAAAGAAAAGGTTAAACCACAAGTTATAGGTGGTTTTCAATGTTTTATTCAGTTGTTGTTGTTGAATTTCCAGAAAATTCAGTGAATTAGTGTGTATTAGTGTGTAATGAACACTTTGGCATATTTACTGTATAAATAATTTAAAGTTGAGAACCTTAATTAAAGAGATACTCCGGCACCATAAGAAATTTATCCCAATGTATTT